AAACATTTCCACAAATAAGTTGAATTTATGATTCAGTATAAAACTGACCACTCACTTATTTGGGCCCTAAACATAAAATCAGTTCTCAAAGCCTTGGAATGACTTAGATGCTCATTCAGCTAACAGGATGAGAGTTAAACCTTTAGACCCATGGTTTTGTATTCACTCCAGACTCCATGGAGTCCCAGAACCTAACTTTTTTTTTTTTCTTTTTAGAACCTCACACTTTAATTCACTTTTCATCTTAAGTCAATTGTGGTGCTTACAGAAATTACCACAAATTTTGATATCATCCAATGGGTAATTGCTATATGGAATGAAATATATTTGAAGAATAGATAAAGTCTCTTATGGCTAGATGGATATCAGTTGGCTAGACATATGGCAGCTCAAAGTACAAACTAATCCTTCTATATTGTGGTGGGACTCTGCAAAGTAAGCCCTCTCTCTTGGGCTTTGGATGGTGGATGTCATGAGTTAGGGCTCTTTGCTAAAAACACACATTAATAACTTTAAGGCAGCTTCTTTGGAAACAGTACTACCAACAACATGGAACTTGAAAATGAGTAGAGATTTTCACTTGGACTCTCATGTGCAGTTTCAGGTTAGAAAGTATTCATTCAAGGGGGATATTTGTCATCTTCCACAAATGAGTATGAAGTGAAAATGGCCAGTTTTCTCTGTATTGGTCATACCTCTGTGGGGAACAAGCAACTTTTTATAGTAATTGGTCAATCTGACTGTAGTAATTGGTCAGTTTTTGCTTTATAGTTTTTATTTGTGAAGGCCGTAAGACTACTTTCTTGCATAGAGGTGACTTGGTAGGCAATAAATCTAGGTTTATATAGGTGTTCTTCAAGTGATGTTTAAAAATTATATGACTCGACTCAAGCCAAGTTTAAGGTCTCTTGTCTTTAAAGATTTTCTCTCGACTCAAGCCAAGTTTAAGGTCTCTTGTCTTTAAAGATTTTCTCTCCTGAAATCAAAGGCTTCTACCTCTCCTTCTCCATCTTCAATGAGATGCCATTGCTTTGCGGAGTGCCTCATTCACACCACCCGAAGCAGCTAGTGACTTACACAAGACAAGGTCACTTTAGATGTAGCTTCCATTTTTGTGGTTGACTTCTACATTGCTTATATCCCAGCTGACTTAAATATACTTTTGCTTCAGTTAATACCACCAATTCCTCTAACAGATATATATATATTGGGAACCCAATTTAATAAGAACAGTAAACATTACTGACCATTTACTATATTCCAGGCATTGCTCTAAGAGCTTTACATATACACACACACACACACACACACACACACACACACACACACACACACATATATATATATATTTGCCTTCAATCCTTGTGACATCCCTATTATACAGTTTTATTATCCATTTACAGGTGAAGAAATAGAAAAATCCAAGAGATTAAGTAACTTGCTTTGGTAGCTGGTTTATTAGTGTCAAAGAAAGGATTTGAATCCAGGCAGTCTGACTTTAGAGCCTCAACATTTCATCCCTACCCTATACGACCTGTAGCTTCCCAGATGGCACAATGGTAAAGGATCCGTCTGCCAATGCAGGAGACCCAAGAGACATGGGTTCGATCCCTGGGTCCTAAAGATCCCCTAGAGTAGGAAATGGCGAAACCCACTCCAGTATTCTTGCCTGGAAAATCCCATGGACAGAAGAGCCTGGTGGGCTCCAGTCCATGGGGCCACGAAGAGTGGGACATGACTAAGTGTGCATATACTACCGGTAGCCCTGTACAGACAATCAGCAAAGATATGAAAAAATATAAAGCATGGTCATCCCTTCACTCCCTCCACCCACCTCCATCTAGGTCAGTTTCCTGAGGGCAGCTCGCCCAGTCCTCCACCGTACTCAAGTGCTGGTCCTGTATGCTGAGTTCCATCTTTATCCAAATCTGACTGCATTCTTCAAACACTGTTTAATCTCTCCTCCCACCTGTCCCTTCCCAGCTTCCACAGCCACGCTAGATCACTTCTGTCTCTTCTCTGATCTTATTACAGCTTATCAAACACTGTCAGAGACACTGTTAGCTCCTTGAGGGTAGGTTTCATGCATGTTACTTCCTTAATGTTTTCTAGATTAGGTAGTGCAGCCCAGCTGCTTCAGCAAGACACCTTCAAGTCCGCTTCTAGCATCCAGCAGTTTCTTCTGCTTGACCGCTATACTGTTATTCTTTTCTTCCTCTTCCTCATCGGTCTCCTCCTCTCCCCTCAATATTATAAAAGTAATGTTCGTATACTCATTGTGTCTCTCCATTGTTTCTAGTGAGAGGTCAGCCTTCCTTTCTGTCATCATTCCTCTGAATATGATTTGTTTTCTTTATTTCTCTGGCTGTTTTTCCCTTTGTTTTTGGTTTTCAGCAGTTTGACTAAGATGTGCTGGAATTTGGTTTTCCTTGTATTTATCTTATTTGGGGTTTGCAGAGCTTCTTGGATTTGGAGGTCAATTTTTTTGTTTGTTTATATGGCTTTTTAAAACCAAATTTGGGAAATACTTCCTCAAATATTTTTTGTCTGCTCCATTCTTTCTCTCCTTTTTCTGAGACTCAACACATACATTAGGCTGCTTGATATTTTGCTACCACTTAAAAGTGTTTTCCTCTTTGTTCTATGGACTAAATAATTTCTATTGATCTGTACTTAGGTTTACTGGCCTTTTTTCTGCAGATTCTAACGTGCTATTAAGCCCATTCAATGAGTACTTCATAATAGATATTGTATTAATACTTTTCAGTTCTAGAATTTCCATTTATTTCTTCTTTTTGTTATCAAGTCTCTACTAATAATTCTGATCTATTTGCTCTTTTAGACCTATCATTTCCTAAGTTCTTGGACATATTTATTGTCACTGCTTTAAAGTCCTTGTCACCTAATTCCATCGTCTGAGGAATCTCAGTATCTATTTCTATTGATTGCTTGTTTACTTTAAGTCACACTTTCCAACTTCTTTGCACACTTTGAATGCTCAGTAAATTTTCAGTATAAGCTGGACAGTTTAGATTATCAGAGGAGCCTGGGGGACAACAATCCATGGGATTGCAAAGAGTCAGACACGACTGAGCGTGCGTGTGCATGCACACACACACACACACACACACGCCACACATCTAAAGTGAAGAGAAATCCAGGAAAGGGAGAACATTGCCATCATCCCAGAAAGTTCTATTCAACAATGCTGGTTAAAAGTTTTACAAGTCTTTGATGAGGAATCAGGGAAATGTAAATTCAAATGACATTTCATATCATGTGTATGAGATTGGGGGGAAAATGGAAAGTTTGATAATACTAAGGGTTGTTAGGGATGTCAGAATGTGGGGGTCTGACACTGTTAACAAGCCAGCAGACGGTTATGAAAACTTTGAAGAACAAGTTGGCACTATCTAGTAAAGATGAAGCTATGAAACCCTACAACCCAGCAATTTAATTTTTAGGGATAGAAGTGAGAGATGCATTCTCATGAGCAAACAAGGAGACCACCCAGTATGAAGACATCACTGTAACATTCTTTCTAATAGCAAAACACACACACACACACACACACACACACACACACAAAAGAAAAAAGGGATCCTAACTATCCATTTTGTGAGAATGAATAAGTAAATTCTAGAATATTCATTTAGTGGAAAACAATGCAATAGTTAAAGATCTATGTGTCTCAAAATGAATATATCTCAAAAACTTATTGTTGATTGAACAGTTTTGTCTATGTTGTAAACCATATAGAGGAGGGTATACAGTGTTTATTAACTCCCTGGCATACCCTGCACACTGCCTCTAGACAGTCACTATGTTTTCTAAAAAGCTATTAATAATCTTGTTATGTGAACCCTTGACTTTTCTTTAAATAACATAAAAGCTCTCTCACTGGAAAAAATATAGGTTGCCATTTTCCAGATCTGAACAGTCTCTATCCAGCTAAGTCTTGTGTTCTCAACTCAGCATTTATGTAGGGCTTGAAGGTGAGTCAGCTTAAACTCCGGGAGTTGGTGATGGACAGGGAGGCCTGGCGCTGTGATTCATGGGGTCTCGAAGAGTCGGACATGACTGAGCGACTGAACTGAACTGAAGGTGGGTCAGAGAAAATAACACAATGCAAAGTTGGAGAACGTTACATATTAAGGAAGGTTGGCACTGTTAGCCTGGAAAACAATATGACTTGAGGTTTTAATGAGGTTTGAGCGCTTCTGTGATATCATTTAGATGTGCAGGATCTGTTTGGTTTAGCTCTGAAGATGCAAATCTAACCTGTTTGTTTCAATGGATCTGAAATTATTCTATGATTCCTCCCCCACACCCGCCCTTTCGTCCTTGTCTTCTTTCTCTTCTTGGAAAGCTGTATATAACATTTGAAGTATATCTGATAAAGTGTTAGGTGAGCCTCAGTTAAAAAGATGGTTCCTTCAACATGACTGAAGGCGCAGCTACTATTTATTTACTAGGCCCTGTACTAGGGTCTGAAGTGATCCAACTGAGTAACACACTTTACCCTAAAAAATCTCATGGTCTAGTTGAATACAGATCAAACTAGTCACTGTACCCCTGCAAGATCAATGTCAAAATAAGACTACTTCAGGGTCTTCTGTGCAAAACGGCCTTTATAGAGTCGAGGAGAAGAATGGCTCTAAAGGGAATCAGTCGGTCGCGGGGACCACCCAGGTGGTGCCAGAGTTGGAAGCAGCCCTCCTCCCCCCATCCCCTGCCATCAATGCGGCTCAGAACGAATCGGCTTTTCGCGAACGCAGGGAGCAAAGGAAAAAGGCGGCCAAATCTTCAGGCAGAAGCAGTTCAGATCAGAGGATTAGAGCCTATCAATGAGGGGTGACCGAACTGGAGAGAGGAAAGAAGGAAGGAAATAGGGCTTAAGCTCCGAGGGAGACTCTCTCAAGAGACAGGGTCAGGCAGCAAGCATCCGCCTTCGTCGGAAAGTTCCCACCCGCGGAGGAAGAGGGTCCCGCCGCGGGGCTCTAGCGGCTGCGGCCTGGCTGAACCCCCGCGCCCGGGCCGCCCGCGATCTGCGTCGCTCGGAGAAGGACCTCCAGCGGCCAGGTCGCCTTTGAAGCCTCGGTGGCTGACGGGATGGGAGATGGATGACTTGGGGGGCGGGGGGGGGGGAGACAGGCACGGGGGGAGGGCCTCTGCTCGATTCCCACGATCGATCGGCCAGTGTGATGGGCAGATGCCGGGTGTGGGTTGGTTCCAGTTTGGGACGCGGAGTGAGTGCGCACACGTGTGCGGGCGGGACTTGCCGGGGGAAGAGAGCCGGCCGGGTGCACGTGAGAGAGGAGGCCGGGGTGAGAGTGTGAGGAGTAGGAGGCCTGGTGAATGCGGGCCTGGGGCTCCGGGTCATCAACCAGGACCGTGGGCGGGGCCGAAGCCCGATGGGGAGGCAGCGGAGGACTGTGAGCAGAAGGCCCCTCGGCTGGGTGGCGGAAGCCTTCCCTGCCCCTTCCCTCGCCCCGGCGGCCAGGGGCAGGTCGGTGGAAGGAGACTCGGGCAGCAATGAGGTTCCGTTTAACCTAGGAGCGCTGGGAGAGCTATTAACTTGTCACTGGCATCCGCTCATTCTTAAAAGAAAAAACTCTGCGAGCCAAGGGACCCCTAGGAGGGAGCGCTGGGGGCGTGGCCGTCCCCCACTCTGCCCCGCCCGCTCCACTCCCAGGAGTCGTTTCCAGGCGCTCCTGGCCCCGCCCTCGACCCCGCCCCTTCTGTCGGCCCCGCCCACCCAGACTGCTCGGCGTCGGTCCGCGAGCCAATGGGAAGCTCTCGACCTCCAGCCCCGGCTGCAATTCACCGCAGGAAGTGTTAGGCGCGCCGCAGCCCCAGACAAAATCGATTACTTTTCTCCGCTCCATGGTCCGGCTGGGGACCCGAGAAAAACCCGGGTGGGTTTTTGTCGGTCTGCCTTCGGGCCAGGAGGAAACTAGGGCTGATGGCCCCGGGGGCCCGAGAGACTTATTTCTTACCTCTTCCTCCTGCCTTGCCGACATGGATAATGACGCGCCCCGTTTGAGGCTGAAAAGAGGCTCATTAACTAGAGTACACAATAAAAGCTCTCCTGGAGAGGAAGGCAGTCTTCTCTCCCGACTTCAGATTATTTCCGATGGGGGTCATCGGATAAATCCAAAGGTCACATCTGTTCAAAGGGTCCTATTAAAATATTTGTTGAACTAGAGTGAGAGTTACATCAGAGAGGGTGTGTGTGTGTGCATATGTACTGTTGGAAGGGGCACCCCACCCACCCGCCAAAATGAACACAATGGGAGGATGTGAAGAGGTCTTAAATAACAACCAGTTCAAATCCCCACTCTTCCCCATTCTTATGTTTGAATACTGTAGTCTCAACGTGCAAGGTAGAACTCTGGATTGCGAGGGCGTTTCGAATTCCTAAGATTTAGTGGTTCAGGAAAGCTTTTGAGATGGATATACTACACAGAAAAAAATATGTCCAGCAAAACCAAAAAGATGGAACGTGGGAACGAGAGAGGGAGGGAGAATACAAAATAGATAATAGAAGACACTTAAAAAAACGGCATCTGTATTCTTCAATCTCAATAGGTATTCCTAGAGATCTCTGCTTTTTATGGCCAATTAAGACCTGAAATCTTTGGCCTTAGAAAGCTGCAGGTAAGGGTCTTTGTATTAATATATATATTAAATTATATATTTACATTATATATTTCCATGCTTTTTTGTTTGTTTTTCCTGATAAAATATAAACTCCCCCAAAGGTGGGTGGTAATTTTGTCTGTTTGCCCAGTGCCTGTGTGTGTGGACGTAGTAGGCACTCAGTGAATGTTTTTCCAGTAACAATTCTAGCTTGTCTCTCTGACTTCTTTCTTTCATTCATCCTCTGAGCTGCCATCAGAGTGGTCTGCAAATCCAAATCTGCTTCTGTCCTTTCAGGGGCACCCTCCAGCTACACCATGAGATCCAATCTCCTTAGCATGAATTGTTTAACTGTCACACAAGGCCACCCAGCTGTCAAGTGGCAGAGCTGCGATTCAAATCGAGGACCTCCCTGGTGGTCCAGTGGTTAAGACTCTGGGCTCCCAATGCAGGGGAAGCAAATTTCATCCCATGGGGAAGTAAGATCCCACATGCCATGGGTGGGGAAACAAAAACAACAGCGACAAATCAAATCTGGCTGTGACCGACTTCAAGCATCCAAACTCTTCAAAGCTATATTTTCCTGCTTCTTTATTCCAGAAACACAAGGGACTCTAGGCTTACAACACAATGGGCTATTTCACACCCCTGTGCTTTGGAATATGCTATTCCGTCTACCAACAATGTTCTTTCATTTCTTCCTTATTCACCTTGTAAGCTCCTACTCATCTTTTAAGACCCAGGCCAAATGTCACTACCTCTGAAACTTCACTGATCCGTCAATCTGAATGAATCATTCCATTAGCTGTCCAACCAAAATACTTTACACTGTCTCTGTTTTTGCATTATGGCTCCATGTTGCAATTATTTATGTACTTGTTTTTCATCCACAGTAAGTATTCAATCAATGACTATTGAATATTTTAGATACCTAAGAGTCCAGTTTTGATTTACACTATACTTGAGATGGATGAATATCACATTAGAAATTGCAATTTCTTTAGCAGCCTAATCTTCAGCTTCGTTGCCCATAAGTCTCTTTAGAGCCATAACTTAATTGTTTAGTTAGAGAATTTAGAAAGTGTAGCATTTAGGAATTATCTTCAGTTGCTAATGTCAGAGACTAGAAATAGCATTAGCTAAATCATGACAGAATTTTTTTCTCTTGCTAAAGCAGTCAAAGGCTGGTGTGGTAGCTTCACAGCCATCAGTGATTCCTTTTACATTTTTGTTCCAATTTTGTTCCAATGTATTATAGATTCTTGATGCCTCTTGGGCTAGGTGCTTCACGCTCCTCCTGCCAAAGCTCAGCTGATTAATATTGATTATAATTGTGTTAGAACATTTTGCTATGTGTAGTGTTTATTTAACAAGTTGCTTTAGATACATTGCTACTCTTCTCATTGGGAAGTGAGGTGCATGCCCGCTTAATGCAAATCTGGGCGACCTTGTTTTGGCCGATAGAGTATGGCAGAAGTGATGCTCTGTAACTTCCAAAGCTAGACCATAGAAGGCCATGGAGTGTCCCTCTGGCTCTCGCAGATTTACTGTAGGTGAAGCCAGTTACTATGTAAGAAGTCTGAATATCTGAGACTGTTGAGCTGGAGAAGCCACATGTACTCACTCGATTGGTAGCCCCAGTCGAGCTTTTAGTCAGGAGCTAACATCATCTGCCCACCCACGTTGGATGTTCCAGCTGACATGTCAGTGCAAGAACAGGAGAAACCCCAGGGCCAACTGAGCCATCCCCAAATTCCTGATCCACAAAATGGTGAGCAAAATAAAATGGCAGTTTTAAGCTATTGTGTTTGGGGGTTATTTGCTCACAGTAATAACGGATAGCTGAAACAGGATCAGACTGTTCTGACTGATGTATGCTAGTCTTTACCAGATTATTTCGGACAATCCCTCTGGTAGGATCCTGTTTACACTTATAATGATCCATCAGCAACTCTCTGTATCTCACCAATTATAAATACAACTGCATTTTTGCATAATTCCCCCCAAACTTTTTCCAGTTTTCTCTATTTCTAAAGCTCTCAGGCTGACAATTTACCTAAGGAGCCAGTAGGTTACAAATAGAACTACTCTTCCTTAATATCCAATGATACTTTGCCTAACTCTTTGGTGAGAAAGTTGCCTAGATTCTTAGAACAATGTAAGATGGCTTGCAGGCTTCACTGATTCTTCATTTTGCGGATAAGAACTGGTTATCAGTCAAAAGGCATGATTTCAGCATCGATTATTCACAGTCTTTTTTAAAAGTTCTTAAAAGTATTATACACTACATGACATAAATCAGTCACAGAAGTACAGATACTATATGAGTCCACTTATATGAGGACCTAGAACAGTCAAACTCATAGAGTCAGAAAGTAAAATGGTGATTACCAGGGACTGGGGAAGAGAGGAATGGGAAGTCAGCGTTTAATGAAACAGAATCTCAGGCGGAGAAGATGGAAAACTGCTGACAATGGATAGTGGTAACAGCTGCACGACACTGCGCTGGAAACTTAAAAATGGTTAAATGATAAATTTGATATTATATATATTTTACCACAATTTTAAAAATTCAGAAAAACTCTCCATTTCTTTACCCCCTGTAAAACCTAAGACAAGAAGGAACAGTCTCCTGACAGATCAGAGAACAATCCTTTGAGGGTATGAAACAGGGTGATCTCCCCTTGTTTAAAAGTTTCCCTGTCATAGTAAGTTGGAAAAGGAACATTTTCCTCTGGTCTGATGACATTGTTTTATTACCATGAACCAAAAATGGCCTCAAAAAAAAAAAAAGTGGCTGTTGTATATAACACCCGTTGAAAATAATGGCCTAACCAACTATAATAAAATTAAAATCCTGGTTTGTGGGAGCTATTCTCAACTCATTCAATTTCATTTTGCAATGAACTCATACTGGAGTCCCATCAGAAAGCCTTGTCATTCACTCATAGGTACTGATGTTTTCCTCCAGTCACTGTGGGTGATTAGGAAACACCAGCTTTGACATTTTTTCCATGCCAAAACAGTATGGAGCTCCAGGGACTCAATTAAACATTTGTTCAAGTACTGGAGCACATTCAAAGCAACTTCCTAAGGAAAATGTTGGCTCACCCTTGAGATGCCCCTGCAGTCTCCCTCTGAGGAAACCTGGGGTGGTCTTCGTGTGAACACACTGATTTGCTTCTGTCGCTTTAGTAGAAGGATGACAAATGTTGCATTTGTTCAGTTGTTTTCCAAACCCTGTGAATCTGTACTCTATGATCCTGAAGTATTAATAATACCAACACTCTGGGCTCTGACCGAAGAGAAGAATCCTAATTTTAAGTTACGTGGCTCAGCTGAGAGAAGTGATCCATGGGGAAGGCTGCCCAGTGGGTATGTTATTTAGTGTTTTAAAGTGAACCCCCAATACTGAATTCTTAATATACTAGCTTAGTCTGCAAAGACTCAGCTTCATTCAAGTCTTGATTTTTGTGGAATTATTACAAGCATAAGGGCTTGTGATGGCCTCTTTTCTTTTCTATAAAAGTGCTGTTAGGCCACTGCCTGCTACATCCCTTGGTGCCTTTTATGATACTCTGCAGAGTAAATTTCTTTTAAAATTTAGTTTCATTTGAAAATAGGCATTCTTTGCACTTTTAAGCAAGATCACTATCCAGGTTTTTCCTCTCTTTACCTTGGCTGCTAAGAAGCTCAACCAAATCTGAAACTTGATTACTAAAATCAAGGCAACCCTACGTTCACTCTGAGGGTTGCCTTATTTCAAGTTTCCAGTTTTTTCTTTTCTGGTTTTCTATTTTGATTTTACCAATTTATTTGAAACGTGGTGTTTTGAGTTGTAGACCACCCAGATTCTTTTTGGAAAGAAAGAATAAGTAAAACATACTTAGCTCATAAATTTCTAACCCCTTGATTGTGTCACCTCAGCTCAGCCTCAATTTATAGGAATTGACCCTCAAAATGAATACTTAAGAAACACAGAAAGGGATGAAGGTGATGGCTTAAAGTGGACAGAAGGAAACACACTGAAGGTTCTAGAAGACGCAATCCTGTATCCATTATCAGAGACATTCTTACAGGGAAATGACATTTAGTGAATGCCTTCATTTACTTGGAGCCCAAGACAGAGCTGAAGTTTGGCCGGACTCAGTTTAATAAAAGACCATCTTTTAGCTGGGAGTAATCCTGCCTCCACTGAACTCCCTAGTACTTAATTAGAGCCAGTCTTAGAGGTCTTTACACTTTC